GAAAAGGGCACAGCTCAGAACCCCATGCTTTAAACTCCCTCCCTTCCATGAGTGGCCTGCCAAGTACTCTCTTCAGCAGTGAAAAATGCATCATTGCAGACCCAGGGAACCCACTTGAGACCCAGCGCCCTGTTTTTATTGGGGGTTGGTCGTATGAGCCCCCTGTGCTAGGCATGTTCCAAATTTCCCAACTCCCAGGGGAAAGCAGGTGCTCTGACTAAACCACCCTATTGTGCAAATAGTCCAGGCACAGGGACTACTGCTCACTGCCCAGGTACCACCTGAGGGCCAACCTTAGAAGCAGCCCTTCCAAAACTGGTCGCCTCAGGCCTGCCAGTTCTTTTCTTTACAGTTCATTTGTTGGTTTTAATCGTTTTTGGGTTCCTGACAGTTTTGAGTATCTGAGCTCCACAATCCCCTGTATCCATGGAGCCCTGAGTGAGAGCCCCTACTGTAGGTGGGGCTGGGAGCAATTGGGAAACCTGCAATGTAGAAGAACTCTTCTGGCCAGTCAGGGAATGACTGCTTTTATGAGTCAATACTAGTGAAAAATCTTTCTCCCCGGGAACCAGCAAATTCAAAGGCCTGTATGTCATGGGGCGTTAAGGCTGACTAGCCGCTTCCAGAACAGAGCCTAACATCCTTTGCTTCCCTAGGTGGCATCCGGGAGGCTGTCTGTGCATCTGTTTCCATGGAGCCTGACATCTTGGTCCATGGGCTGACAGTGCAAGGAGTGCCTCGGAGTGGAAAGTCAAATGAACTGCTGGATATGTTTGGAATTAGTGCCAGACACATTATAGTGGCCGTGAAATGTATGTTAACAAACTAAAATAGCTGTTAGCTTCTCTACATTTATGCCTGTTGACACACTATCATTTAAATCTATATACTGTTTGTTCTTTGTTCTTAAAAGCAAAACAAGTTAACTACCTTCCAGTTACGCCATAACTACATATACAAGTGTAACTCTCATCTTTAAGTAATTAAAGTGGGTTATAAGATTTTAAGTAACAGAGTAGCTAACTAAACAACCACCTAATATCAATTTTTATGATGAGACTACAGATATCTGGGCTGAGGATCAACATAGGGTAAGAGTTTCTTAAATGTGTGGATTTTCCTCCTAAGTAAAAATGTGAACTGTAGACTGCAACTGCCTGGGTTGTGCAGCACTATAGCACCATGCTGCATACTGCTGTCCCAGGTTGAAAATTTATGTGCTGCCATCCTACCTGCAGCTTCCTGGGTATTGTGTGACAGCAGATGCCCTGGAATTTCATCTCCCCTCTTACGGTGCGCAGAGCAGCAGTGAAAGTTCTTAGATTGTCCTCTGCTGCTTGTGGTGACTAGTCTGTGAAGAGAGGATACAACTAGTTCTAGTCTCCACACTGCACTCTTGTGAGGTCTCAAATGGTCTCATTTGCCCAGTGACCAGACCCAAACTGTTAGCTCAGTTATATTTATCTACTGGTTAAAGTTAATAAAGCATTTAAAAACCAACTGCTTTATTCCATTTGTACCTTGTATGTGTGATTTGGTTTCTCCTGGATAAAATTTTCAGTAAGAAAAGAGCTATCTAAACTAGAAGGAGAAAGAGCCATGTCCCCCCCAACAGCCAACCCAGGAAAGGGTACTGGGCAGGAGATGCACTACTACAGAACAGTGTTTGGCCTGAAAAGCCATCCCTGAGCCGACTCCTTATTTCAGCTGTAAACACATAAATCATGTGGCTAGAATACAAGAAGAAAGTACCAGCCAGATAAAAATGGGTTGGAACTTCAGAACCTGCAACCCAGGTACACACCCTTGACCAGGAATCAAACGTGCTGAGCCAGGGCCAAAAAATAAATTTAAAATTGACTGGATGTGTCTGGTATATTATGGTCATTATTTTTATTGCCTCCATTAACTGGTCATCAGGGGGTCTTTGTCCTGGAATGTGAGGTAGAAACTGAAGAACTAGCCTGAGGACACTCCACAGTCTGGTTTGGGGCATACTCATTCCATCACAGAGCTGTAAAATTAGCATATTTAAATTTTTTTTATTTTTTATAAAACAAATAGTTGATATAATTAATACAAATATATCAAACAGCCCTGGCCAATTTGGTTCAGTGGTTAGAACATCGTGGATTGAAGGGTCTTGGGTTTAATTCCTGGTCAAGGGCACATACCTGGGTTGCAGGTTCTCGGATCCCCAGCCCTGGTCAGGGTTGTGAGGGGGGTGGGAGCAACCAGTTGATGTGTCTCTCTCACATGGATGTTTCTTTCCCTCTCCATCCATCCATCCCCCCCTCCCTCCCACTCTGTCTGAAAAATCAATGGAAAAATATCCTTGGGTGAGGATTTTTGAAAAAGTCAAACTGTTGAATTTTTTTTTTTAGCAAAAATTGGTTGATAAAGAGTCATTGCAGAAAGTTTAGAAAATGCGCCCTGGCCAGTTTGGCTTAGCAGTTAGCGTGTTGGCCCGCAGACCAGAGAGCCCTGGGTTCGATTCCCGCTAAGGGCACGTACCCTGGTTGCAGTTTGTCCCTGGCCCCAGTTTGGGTCGTGTGGGTGGCAACCAATTGATGAATCTCTCTCACATCAATGTTTCTCTCTCTCTCCCTCTCCCCTCCCTCCCGCTCCATCTGAAGATACGTGCAAAAATATCCTTGGGCCCTGGCCGGTTTGGCTCAGCGGTTGGAGCGTCGGCCTGCGGTCCGGAGAGACCCGGGTTCGGTTCCCGCTAAGGGCACGTACCTCGGTTGCAGTTTGTCCCCGGCCCTGGTTGGTTGTGCGGGTGGCGACCACTCGATGTGTCCCTTTCACATCGATGTTTCTCTCTCTCTCTCTCTTCCTCTCTCTCCCTCCTACTCTACCTGAACAAAAAATGGAAAAATGTCCTCGGGTGAGGATGATAAAAAAAAAAAAAAAATATCCTTGGGTGAGGATTAAAAAAAAAAAAAAAAACGCACATAAGCAAAAAAGATTTTTGTCTCGCTTAACCATCTCATACTCCATACAATTTTACCCACTAGAAGTATGAGATTTGGTGGTTTTAATATATTCAGAGTTGTTTTGTAACCATCATGGTCAATTTTACATTTGTATCACCCCAAAAAGAAACTCTGCACCACTTAGTAGTCACTCCACATTCACCTTCCCAGCAGCCCCTGGCAATCACTCATGTATTTGCCTATTCTGGACATTTATATGGATGGAATCATAGTATGTGACCTTTTTGTGTCTGGCTTATTTCACTTAATGTAATGCATTTGAGGTTCATCCACATTATAGCATCTGACAGAACTTCATTTCTTTTTAAGGCCATCTAATAGTCCATCCTCTGTATAGACCACATTTTATCCATTCATCACTTGATGGACATTTGAGTTGTTTTCACTTTTGGTCTATTGTGAATAATGCTAAGAACATTTATATTCAAATCTGTCTACATATACATACATATATATATAAAATATATATACATATATATAATATATATATACACATACATATATATAATATATATATATACACATACATATATATATATATATTATATATATATATATTTTTTAATCCTCACCGGAGGACATTTTTCCATTTTTTGTTCAGGTAGAGTGGGAGGGAGAGAGAGGAACAGAGAGAGAGAAACATCGATGTGAAAGGAACACATCGAGTGGCTGCCACCCGCACAACCGACCAGGGCCGGGGACAAACTGCAACCGAGGTACGCGCCCTTAGCGGGAACTGAACCCGGGTCTCTCAGGACTGCAGGCCGACGCTCTAACCGCTGAGCCAAACCGGCCAGGGCTACAGATATATATTTTCACTTCTTGAGTGTATACAAACCTAGGAGTGGAATTGCTTGGTTATATGGTAATTGTTTATCCTTTTGAATGTGTGTGTGTACATTTAAACACAGTTTTGTGAGGAGTGAATGAGACAATGACTGCTGCAACATTATGAACACAAACAAACCAGAATGTGTGTCCAAGCACTAGTACCACATTTGCTTGAATTTGGGTGTAAAATGCCCCTATCTGGTGATTCCTACAATAGAAAATGTAGATTTGATCCATGATTAAAGTGCCATTCTAAAAGCCTGAATTCAAGCCCCTACAGGTACTGGGAAAGAACAGCAAGACCTATTTTGTAATAGGCACTGAGAGGAGCTATGATCACTCAGAGAAAGGAGTGCCCCTGTGGCCAGCTTGGCCCAGGTGTAAGCTCCTCAGTGCAGAGTAGCCAAGGGCGGGGGCAGCAGGCACATGGTAAACTATTATAGGCGCTGAATGTTCCCTAATAGTTCTGGAGCCTTGGGGCTCCTGGCACCCTTGCCCTTGAGGCTTCAGAATGCCTCCTAGCTGCTCTGATTCCCATCCATGGAAGGACGGCATGCAGGGTGGGTGGCCTACTGCATGGCCTTCATCTCCAGGTCTGCTACTTGGGGTGGTGAGGCAGTGACTCGGTAACCCACTTTGCCTGTTTGTTTCATCTGTAAAAGGGTGCTGGTTCTGATGATGGCGGTAGTATCTATCTCATAGGGCTATGGCCAGCACTTTAGAAGTACCATTGAAGTGTCCCTATTGGGAGCTGCCCTGCCTTCCTGGCCGGTTTCTCCGCCCCAGCCCCTTCCTAGTCTCACTGGGATTGTCCAGGAATCAGCAGCAAATAAGGCCCGACTTGCCCCTCCCAGGCCATCCCTCCCATCTGCAGCCCAAGGTGCTCACACTCCCCTTCGAACCACCAGTGTTTTGCTGGTGCTCCCTCTACCCACCATTTGGCTCAGCTTCGCGCAGGCCTGGCCCCACCGGCCCCACCGGCCCCACCGGCCCCACCGGCCCCACCGGCCGGAGCGGGCGGCACTTGCATACCCTGGACACGCCAATCAGCGTGCGGGCGGTGATCCAGGCCACGTCATTGGGTTCTGTTCCGTCACTCATTTGGAACTCAGCCAATCAGCGCCTCCAGCGACGCGTTGGGCGTGGAGGGCAACACCAGAGGAGCAACCAACCACCCACCCGCCAGAGGCTGGCAGGGTAGGTTGCCTTCTCCCGGGCACTCCTGAGAAGAGGGTGGCAGCTGCCCAGGTCCCCAGGAATGCGTAAGACAAGGACACTGCTTCTAACTGCAGGCTGACCGGCAATGGAGAGCAGAGGTATGGCCAGAGAAGAGAGAACGCTAGGGTGGAATGGGGTTGGGGGTGTGATGGCGGTGTGGAGGAGTGAGGGTGCAGGGGAAAGAAAGGTAGTGGGTGGAGGTGCAGGTAAGGGGGGTGGTGGGGTGGGGGTGGGGAGTGCATTCCGCATCCCGCATCCTAGGCCATCCTGGACTCCTATAGGAGAAGGAAAGTGATTCAGAAACTCAGAGCTCCAAAGAAAGTGGGTTCTGGCAGCTAAGTTCTCCAGGTAGAGCATGCCCACCCACAGACACATCAACCCAGCTGTGGTTACTTGCCACAAGAAAGTAAGAGGGTTTCTTCTGTGTCCCTGCTGTGATACTTTGCCCTGCCGGGCCATGATTGGGATCAGAAAAGCAGTGGCCTGAAATTCTGGAATCCTGAAATGATCCCATGTATGGTTCTCTATTTAGTGAAGAAGACAAACAGCAGTTACAGAACACTCAGAGTAGGGACCCAGGAGTGCACCAGGGGGTATAGAGGCAGTGATGAAAAAGACCCTACCCTTAGTGTATGCCTGTACTCCTGGAGCATACTGTGACTGGACCCTAGTTTGGGGTCTAATGGCAACGGGGTAGTTAGCATTTCAAGGACAGTGGGTGTCCCCTTGGCACCTGCTCAAGTGAGTTAATGACACAATCCTCTAGCAATGGAACACCAATCCCAAGACACGGGAAAGCAGCCTACGTTCACCAGAAGGGGAGGCTCAGAGGGACTGGGGGCTTCCTGATGGTCAGCATCAACTGAGGCCAACCAGATGTCCCAATTCCAGGTTTCAGGATCCCACTCCTCCAACTTTTGCCCTACCTTTCACATGAGAAACATGGAGAGGCTGAGAATTCAAATGACATTGGGATTCTGTAACCCACACAATTAAATGTTCTGTTTGATTTTCAGCACTGTCAGCCCTGCAGATATAGAAGTGTGGAAATTTTTAGAGCTGTCATTGAGGTTCTCTGTCATACTATGACTTGAGCACAGAGTAAAGGAACCAGAGCTTGAATATAAGGGGTTGGTTACTCAGGAGTTGGAAGGCTGAAAATACAAAAAGGGATACTGAAGCAATAGAGATAATACAGGAAGAAGCTGCCGCCCCCAGAGCAAGGGGAAGAAGGGAAGACGTTGGTGTCATCGGAAATCTAGAATCAGGATGAGGGGCATTGAAGAGCCAGAGCCCAGATCTGTGAGGAGGGGCTGCTGCAATTTTTCAGGGGAAGCAACATCATCAGCTAAGAGAGGGAACAAGGTAATTTCCACAGAACCATCTTCAGATCATTAATTCTTTGATGGTCGCTCTCGCGCTCTCTCTCTCTCTCTCTCTCTCTCTCTCTCTCTCTCTCGGTAATCCTCACCTGAGAATAATGTTCCATTGATTTTCAGATAGAGTGGAAGGGAGGGAGGGGTAGAGAAAGAGAGAAACATTGATGTGAGAGAGGCATGTCAGTTGGTTGCCTCCCATACCTCAACTGGAGCCAGGGATCAACCCTGCAACCCAGGTGTGTGCCCTTGACTGAAATCGAACCCAAGACCTTACCGTCCATGAGCCAATGCTCTAATCGCTGAGCCAAACTGGCCAGGGCATGGTGGCATCTCTTTGTGGTTTATTTCAATGACAGTTTTTTTTCTAAAGTTTTTTTTCAAGTCTTCCTGGGCTTTTAAAATTATTTTTTAATTAAAATTATTTTTATCTTTTTTATTCCTTTTTTTATATCTTTATTTTGTTGTGTCTCAGAAGCCATTGAGGATTCCGGAAGTTGGAGTAGCTTTATACTACAATAAAGCAAACAATTTGTAAATATACATGAGAACTGCTCTCTGGTCTCATGAGAATTCAAAGGTAATATCAATCTGTTTTTAAGTACCCCCTTATTAAAAGGCCATTATCTTTCTCACCCTCTTTGCTTCTTATGTGCTGGCCCAAGGCCTGGGAGATATTCACCTGGGCTCACCCCTGACACCTTCCAGGAATCTCTGAGTGAGGGAGAAAGCCAGGCAGTAGATCATAGCCTGAAAAGGGGGGTCAGGCTTGGAATCCAACATCCTTGATCCACACCCTGCCTTGAACACTTAATAGCTAGTAATTCAGAACAAATTAATCAACACTTCTTTGTCCTGTTTTCCTCATTTCCTCATCTGCAATATAGGGATAACACTGCTACCAAACTCCAAAGGCTACCAAGAGGATGGCATGGATGAGTCCAGATGTGTAGCAAACACTCACAATCATTACTGAAAATTACATTATCTGGCCTCTGACAGTTACACTCTGGGAACATTGATAGGGCTACTCCTGTCTTTTTAAAAAATTTATTTATTTTTAAATTTGGTTATATATTTTTTTAAATATGTTTTTATTGATTTTTAGAGAGGAAGAGACAGGGAGAGAGAAACATTGATTAGCTGCCTTCTGCACGCCTTCTACTGGGGATGGAGGCTGCAACCCAGGCATGTGCCTCAACCAGGAATCAAATTAGCAACCTCTTGGTGCATGGGAGGACACTCAACCAACTGAGCCACACCAGCAGGGCTAAATTTGTTTGTTTGTTTGTTTGTTTGTTTATTTATTTAAATTTTTTCCCTTTATTGATTTTAGAGAGGGCCCTGGCCAGTTTGGCTCAGCGGTTAGAGCGTCGGCCTGCGGTCCGGAGAGACCCGGGTTCGGTTCCCGCTAAGGGCACGTACTTCGGTTGCAGTTTGTTCCCGGCCCTGGTTGGTTGTGCGGGTGGCAGCCACTCGATGTGTCCCTTCACGTCGATGTTTCTCTCTCTCTCTCTCTTCCTCTCTCTCCCTCCCACTCTATCTGTACAAAAAATGGAAAAACATCCTCGGGTGAGAAAAAAAAAAATAGAAAGGAAGTGAGAGAGAGAGAGAGATAGAAACATCAATGAACCCTGGCCGGTTTGGCTCAGTGGTTAGAGCGGCCTGTGGTCCAGAGAGGCCTGGGTTCAGTTCTCGCTAAGGGCGTGTACCTCCGTTTCGGTTTGTCCCCGGCCCTGGTTAGGTTGTGCTGGTGGCAGCTGCTCGATGTGTCCCTTTCACGTCGATGCTTCTCTCTCTCTTTCTCTCCCTCCCACTCTATCTGAACAGAAAATGAAAAAATGTCCTCAGGTGAGGATAAAACAAAAAAAGAAACATCGATGAGAGAGAACATCGACTGCCTGCCTCCTGATGCTCCCCACTGGGTATTTGGCCCACAACCTGGGCATGTGACCTGACCGGGAATCAAACTGGCGACCTCTTAGTGCATGGGTCGATGCTCAACCACTGAGCCACACCAACTGGACTATTTTTATTTTATTTTTTAATGTATTGACTTTATAGAGAGAAGAAGAGGAGAGGAGAGAAAGAAAACATCAATTTGTTGCTCCAACCATCCAACACATTCACTGGTTGACTCCCACACATACCCTAACTAGGGATTGAACCTGCAACTCTGGCACATTGGGGCAATGCTCCAACCAATGGAACTACACAGCCAGGGCAGGACCAGTCCTCCCTTTGACAGACCTGCTGATTCTCCATGAAGGTGGGCAGTGTCTTCAAGTTTAGATTGTTGACTCATCTTCAGCGGGACCTCTGGGAGTCCTGGGTGTGAGTCCTGGGTGAGGTGTCCCCTTCCAGGGTGGGTGAGTTTGCTCTGCCAAAAGCCCAGCAGTACTGCCATGACAGGGAGGGTAGTTCCTCTCAACCAGGGGTCGCCTAAGCCCCTCTACCTGTAGCCCAGTAAAGGCAGCCTCTGCTCATTGATGCTGTGGGTGATGGAGTTCTTGGCCCACTCACTCAGACCCAGGCTGGGATGGACCTGCTTCTTTTTATATACCTGTCCTTCTTTTTCTTTCTTTTTTCTTTTTTATCCTCACTCGAGGACATTTTTCCATTTTTTTGTTCAGATAGAGTGGGAGGGAGAGAGAGGAAGAGAGAGAGAGAAACATCAACGTGAAAGGGACACATCGAGTGGCTGCCACCCGCACGACCAACCAGGGCCGGTGACAAACTGCAACCAAGGTACATGCCCTTAGTGGGAACTGAACCCGGGTCTCTCTGGACCGCAGGCCAACGCTTCTAACCGCTGAGCCAGCCAGGGCGCTGTCCTTCCTTTTCTTAAAGGTGTCCTTTAAGAGCACTGGTTTTAGGTGGAATCTCAGTTCTGCTCTCACCTTCATAACCCTGAGTGCCTTGGAAACCCATCAGGGAAGCACCTCACTGGACCCCAGCTCCCCTCACTCTGTTTTCATTTGTTCTGTTTCCCCAGGGATTTCCCTCCCTTACCTTCAGGACACCTGTGCATTTAAACAATGTAAATAAACACTTCTCATTGCATTATTTCCTTATCTTTCTCCCAAACAGAACTACCATCCCTGGAGGGCAGGGACTGGGTGTCTGACAGTCACCACCACTAACCCAGGCCCAGGCAGCAATGGATCATATGACCAATACCCCAAGTCATGGTGATGGGCCAGCAGGCCCGCCCACCAGCCTGGGTCAATGAGCAATTGGCAAACAGTACTCCAATTTCTGCTCCAAGTCTCCTTACTCTCCTCACATCTGGGAGAAGGCCTCTATGCCCAAGAAACAGAACCCAGAAATAATCACTTGAGAGTTTAATAAATCTGATAATACAAAACTGTGTAACTTCTTTTTTTTTTTTTTTTTTTATCCTCACCCGAGGACATTTTTTCATTTTTTACTCAGAGCAGGAAGGAGAGAGAGGAAGAGAGAGAAACATCGATGTGAAAGGGACACATCGAGTGGCTGCCACCCACATGACCCAACCAGGGCTGGGGACAAACTGCAGCCAAGGTATGTGCCCTTAGCGGGAACCGAACCCGGGTCTCTGTGGACCACAGGCTGACGCTCTAACCGCTGAGCCAAACCGGCCAGGGCGAAAACTGTGTAACTTCTTGCATTCAAAAGAAGCAAGCCTAGTCTTTTAAGACAAAAGACAAAATGAGGGAAAATATTTGAAACATGTTACAAAGGACTAACAGTCCTAGTGTACAAGTAGGGTCTTTTGGGAAGACACTTATATAGTGTCTGTTAACATGTTAAATGCTTATAGGTCAATTCCACTTATTGCAGATTATCCTAGACCTAGAGGGAGATTGACATGTGTTCAAAATGCTGGTGGTTGCAGCATTAATATGAATAGCAAAAGAAAATGTGACAGTACATCAATTGAGGATTCATTAGGTAAATTATAGTACATGTATTTTATCAAATACCAAGCAGCCAGCGAAGAAATGAGCTAGACATTTGTGTACTGACATGCAATGATCTCAAAGATATATTACTATAAGTAAAAGAAAATCACAATAAAAATGTATAAAGTGTATGGTTTGTTTTTGTTTTTTTTATCCTCACCTGAGGACATTTTTCCATTTTTTGTTTAGATAGAGTAGGAGGGAGAGAGAGAAACACCAATGTGAAAGGGACACATCAAGTGGCTGCCATCCGCACAACCCAACCAGGGCCGGGGACAAACTGCAACCGAGGTACGTGCCCTTAGCGGGAACCGAACCCGGGTCTCTCTGGACCGCAGGCCAACGCTCTAACTGCTGAGCCAAAACGGCCAGGGCAAGTGTATGCTTTTTAAAACTATGAATAACTATGTTGGTGATTGCATAGAAAAATGTAGTTAGAAGAGAAACAAAACTTAACAATCTTGCTTAAAATAATGTTTTGTAACATTTTTCAATCATGTGCTTTAAGTATGCAGGGTGGTAAGGTAAAATGGTACAACCACTGTGGAAGGCAACTCAGCTGTTTCTTTTAAAGCAAAACATCCATCTCCACAGGACTCATTCATTGCACTCTTGGCACTTATGGCAGAGAAATGGAAACTTGTAATCACAGGAAGACCTGTGCTTGAATGTTTATAGTAGGTTATTTGTAGAAGCCTAAGACGGAACAAGCAACACATCCTTCAGTGAGTGAATGCTTGAATGAACACTGATTGATCCACACCAAGGACTATAGCCAGCAATACAGAGGAAAAATTATCAGTACATGCAACAGCTTGGGTGGACCTCAAGGGCATCACATGAGTGGAAAAAGCTCACCCCCGGTTACATATTGCATAGTTCCATTGATGTAATAGTCTTCAAATGACAAAATTGTAGGGATAAGAATACAATACTGGTTGCCATGAGTTGGCAGGAGGAAGGGAGGGGCTGTGGCTCTGAAAGGTCAACCGAAGGGATCCTTGTAAGGGAACAGGCTGGACATTGACAGCAGTGATGGTCACTTGAATCTACACGTGTGATGAAAGTGCACAGAGCTATGCGTGTGCATGCTCATGCACACACACATAAATGAAAATCGAAGCAGCTCTCGGTTGCCATCAGTGCCGTTTCATGGTGTACGATTGTACTAAGTGTTAAAGGTGCTGACCCTAGGGTACTGCAGGTCCAGAGGTCTTGGATGTTTCTATGTAACTTCCTTTGAACTTATTTCAAAATACAAGTTCACACGAAAACCACGCAAGCAGGGTGTACAGTGTCAAAAAAAAAAAAAAAAAAAAATGATTCACCCAGCTCTGTATGGAAAGTCCCTGCTTTCCCCACATTGGCACCTACCGCTCAACCCCACCACCCAGAAAAGAGCTCACAAAATTAAGCCAAGAGACTAGGGTAGGAGAATGGCTAGCTTTGATTGGGCAGAAGAACTGTCTGTCAGGACAGAGGAGCTACGCTTTCTAGGGCGGTCTGGGGGCGGGTCTCGTCGCTAGCCAAGCTTAGTTATTGGGGGAGCTAGCTTAAGGTGTAGGGGAGAAAGGCGGTACTTCTGGTAGGCGGGCTGACATCCGCCTCGGGCTTGGGGGCGGTCACTAGGCCCCTGAGACAATGCCTTGGCGCTTAGTCTCTGCCATCGCCCCTGGCACGGTCTCTGACTGGCAAGAGTTCCCGCTCCCTAGACCTGGGGATCTCTGCCCTTCCCCAGGAAAAAGCCACCCCCGAGTCCAAGCCCCGGTAGATTGTGGGGTCTCCGTCGGGCGGCCCTCGCCCGACCCCGGCAGCAATTATCCCACCATCCTGAGGGTGCCTGGCCCTCCAGATGAGCAGGAGCCTCCTGAGAAGGAAAGGAGGGCGGTGACCCCACTCGGATGGCAAAAGGCAGGGCCAATCCGGCCAGTCCTGGCCAAGGAGAGTAGCCTTGCTCAGAGCTCATGGGAGATTCCATCTTCCCAGGGCCCGGAATGTAACGCCCCCCCCCCCACACACACACACTCATGCAACTTGTTTCGGGGCCCACTGTGTTCCAGAGTCTCCTGAGTGTATCTGGACAGTTTTCTGTAAAGCATGGACTACAAACAAAAATAGACACACACACACAGGGGCCGAATATCCAGAGAGAGGTGGACACAGTTGAGCCCAGTCACCCAGGAATGTGCTGTCCACCAGAGGGGACTGTCCACGGTTCTGGAGATGAGGACGTCAGGAAGTAACAGTCTTCCCTGTGACACTTGGCAGCGGTGATTGTCCCGGGAGGGAATCCTGCTCAAGCATGCCTGTTGTTCTCCAGGACAACCTGAGGTTGCAGCCATCAGCTGTGCCTACCGGCCTCTCACCTGGAAAGGTCAAGGTGAGCCCTGCAGGGAGAGCTGGTGGCTTCTCTGGAAGGAGGTGTGATGCGGAAACATCCATCCTGGTAGTTCTCACACTGGAGGTTGCAGGTGCAAGACAGCACCTGGAGGGCTTGTTCAAACCCAGGGCACTGGGCCCGCCCCCGAATTTCTGATCTTCCAGATCTGAGGTGGGACCTGAGAATTTGCAACTCTCACAATCTCCCTGTGATGCTGCTGCTGCTTTTCCAGAGACCCCACTGTGAAAACCACTTCTCTGAAGGACAGGAACTCCTAGGTGTGTGCCCCCTGCCCTACTTGGGGCTGGCTCCTTTGCAGGGTCCCCACAAATCTGAGAACTGCTTGGAGGGTGCTAGTCCTTGAGAGATCGGGGGCTTCCTGTTGAGCAGCAGTCACCCTTCCCTGCCCAGGCACACTGCAGGGCAGGTCCACAGCCCAGGCTGGAAAAGGTATCAGGTTTGTGCAGGTGCTCAGCAATTCCCACATTGTATCTGATAACATCTGTAGGAGAGAGAGGGACAGAGATCAGATTTGTGTGCCTGGGAGCAGGGATGGAAAGGCCTCTGATGGGGCAGAGGAAAGCCCCAAACCCCGAGATCAGGGATGGGAAAGGAACGTGGGCCCCAAAGCAAGAACATGGATTTGGGGGCACATACAGACCAGAAAGTGGTTTTCTGCCTGGGAACTACCCTGACAGTCATCAAGTGTGTGGGTGTGGCCGGCCCTCTAGCTGGTGGGGAGCCTCCACCTTTCCTGCCGAATGTTCCTCACCAAGAGGGTCTCCTGGCTCCAGGGTGTCAGTGCCCAGCAGCACCACCGTCCAACTTTGGCCAGTCTCTGCAGAGGTCCCTGGCAGGTCTTACTCGGCTCCACAGTGGTCTGTCATCCAGTCGGAGTAGCAGGTGAAATGCATTGCCATTCACTGGCCACAATTTGTCCCTAGGACCCCAGCACCTGAGCGTATTCTGGGTGTGGGAACAGATGGTGGAGTAAACTTTGCCTTTGCCGTTCGTGTTCCATGTTTCCCCTCCTTGACCCCCTTTTCCTTCTGGGTTGTCAGGCTCTTCCTTGTGCACTGGTTCAAGCTATCTATATGTTAATAATAGGAGCCCTGAGTCACATCTTGCCACTGTTTTTTCCCCACTTTGTCACTTGTCTCTTGACTTTGTGGTTTGGGGTTTGTGTTTGGTCAGGCAGACAACTTTAGTTTCCGTGTCATCAGACTTTCCAGACTTTTCCTAATGGCTTCTGGTGTTTCTTGTCAGTTTGTTTACTTTAGACTTACTTTGAGTCCCCTTCTCCAACTAAAATTGTGTATTAGGCCTGGCTTGTGTGGCCCAGTGGATTGAGCGTTGTCCCATGGACTGAGAGATCCCAGTTTGATTCCTAGTCAGGGTACACGCCTAGGTTGCAGGCTCAATCCCCAAGAGGGGGCGTGCAGGAGGCAGCTGATCGATGTTTCTGTGTCACATCAGTGTTTCTCTCTCCTTAAAAAAAAATTTTTTTTTCAATGGAAAATATAAAATAAAATTATGTATTAGTTTCCTGTTGCTGCATAACAATCGCCCGAAACATAGCGCCCTGCTGCAACTAACACTTGTGATCTCCCAAGTGTCTCATGGACTGGATGCTAGAGGGCTTGGCTGGGGAATTCTGGCTCAGGGTCTGTCACAGGCTGTAGTCAAGGCATCAGCTGGGCTGCAGCCCTCTGGTCTACCTGTTGGGGGTGGGGCTGTGCTTCCTAGATCACTCACGTGACTGTGGCAGGGGTCTCAGTGTCCCCCCACAGGGCCTGGCCAGAGGGCTGCTCAGGGCAGGGCTTCCCCAGAGCCAAGGGAGAGGGGTGAGTGGCCCCGAGATGGAAGACATGGTTTTTATCACTATTTCTAAGTGACCTTCCTTCAGCTCTGCCTGGAGGGCTCCATGGTTCTGGGCTCCATATTTTTATGGGTCACACAGGTCAACCCTGGAACAGTTGACCTGGGCCCCGAGGCTAAGGCGACTAGATTCCATTCTTATGTAGGCCTCT